AGATTAGTGTGTAGGATAGTTGTGTCAAGGAGGAGGAGGTCTTCAAGGAAGCTTGCTGAAGTTTAGTTCCGTCTGTTTCTCATTTCTAGTAATGTTTAGGTTGTATGCTTGACTTTTTAACAATGTAATCCTCAAATAATTTATAATAAATAAAAAAAAATTGTGTTATACTATTGTGTTATGTTCTCTCTCTCTCTCTCTGTATATATATATATATATATATATATATATATATATATATATATCTATATATATATATATATATATATATATATATGTCTCGATCCAATTTTTCCACGTTTGCACAACCCGACGTTTCCGCCGCCGGTCGGGGGTGAGACACTTCCAACCACCTCCCAGTGTTTCTTTAACATGACAAAAGAAAACCCGTCGGGGTCAGGTGCCCTATCCGAACCACATGCCCATATAGCCGATTTGATTTCATCTATAGTGAACGGACCCTCAAGAAATTTGGCCATGTGAGGGGGTAATTTCTTGAAGTTAGGTCTGATGAACTTAGGCCTTGATCGATTTGGCTTAGTGAATCTTTCAAAGAAATGCTTGATTGCTACTTGCTTAATCTGATCAGGATCATTAATTCAAAACTCATTGTCTTTGAGTTTCGGTTGGCGTTTTCGACATGTAGTTTTTAGGAGATTTAGCTTTTAAGAAAAAGTTCAAAAAAGTTTCGTTCGGGAGCAAGAATTTTAAACTTTTAGTGCATATATTGGCAAACTAAGTGAAAGTTGTAAATTTTATTTGTATATGGTATTTGGAAAAAATAGTTGAAAATTTTTAAAACAAATAAAGTTACATAAAATGATATCTTTATAAAATATAAAATACGCCTACAACTTTCTTGAAGGCAATTTAGTGCTTTTGTGATAATAAGCAGAAGTTATTATTATTATTATTATTATTATTTATTAAATGTTATTTGAAGCAACTTTTGGATTTGAAATTTTTTTAGGCTAAAAGTTAAAAGCTTGTGCTAGCGGATGAAGTTTTTTTTTTTTTTTTTTTTTTTTTTTTTGCTAAAACTAAAAGCTCCCAAAAAGGTACATGACAAGTACGTTTTTAGCTTAAACAAAAAACTTCAAATCTGAAAACTATTTAATAGCGTTTAAAATTTTTTTTAAATAATTTTGTGAATTTACTTAATTACCTTTTTTTAAATATGTTTCTATTTTATATTTTACAAAGATGTAATTTTGTATATTTTAAAAGCTTCAAACTATCTTTTACCAAACACTTGTATATAATTAAAGGTATTGACTATCAGTTAGTTTTGAATCACATCTAATACCTGGATTTTGAATCACTAGTATATAATTAAAGGTAATGACTATCAGTTAGTTTTGAATCAAATCTAATACCTCGCATCTGAATCATAGTCACTCAACTTCAAATTTATTGTTGTGACATCCCCATTTTCACGGCCAGAAAATGCCGATTTTGTTTATGCTTTATAAAAATCAGAGTACCTCTTTTAATGAAAATGTTGCGGAATTTGTTCCCAGAAAAACATGATAAATACGTTATCAAAGCATTTCCGAAGAAATTTATTTTTATTCATTTTAAAACATTGGGATGTCATCGTCAATACAGAAACATAAGCATAAACAAAACTTACATTCATTTACACTAGTGATCTACATCTCTTTTAAATCTCTCAGTATAATGTAACTTCATATCGACACCTGTGATACAAATAAACTGAGTGGGTCAGGTTGGGAAACCTGGCGAGTACATAGGGTTTTCAACCCACAATAATATAGTTAGTATGTTTAATCATCAAACAATTAACCCAATTACTCATCCCCATTATCTTATTTACTCTTAAGGATCTACCCTAAGAATCAACTATTTCTTGTTCATTCGTTCCTAAGGATCATCCTAAGTAATAGGCATGAAATCCATCGTTATCAGGGTTTACTCAACGGGCACTAAATCCATAGTTGGCAGGGTTTGCTCAACATGCACTAAATCCATAGCTGCCAGGGCTATTTCATTTATCAACAGTATCGTTTCCGAGAATCCACTCGCAATACATGTCAATGGGTTTTTATCTCGTTTATCGACAGTATCGTTTCCGAGAATCCACTCGCAATACATGTCAATGGGTTTTTAGAGTACATCTGGTGAATACACAGTTCAAAACACCTACAGGTTGCGAGCCTGCTAGTGTCCACTGGACTGTCTAGAATAGTCTGTGGTTGTCATCCATACTCTGCTGAATGACGGGGCCAACACATGGGTAAAAGGCTTCTCTCATGGTTTACCTCTCACCCTTATCTCATGGTCTATATCACTTTTCATCATTTTATTTTTGTCACACAGCAACTATTTCATCTACCCATGTTTTACCCAACACATTTTGTAGATATAAAATACATATACAGTTTAAATCATTTAAAACATGTATAAAAATCTTTCACCCAGCACAGACGGCAAGTATACAGACAATATGCACACATAGCATGTAATTTATATCAAATACTTCATATCTATGTGTAAGATGAAAGGGACTATGCAGTCACCTGAAAGGTGGTGACTCGGAACTCGGACAACGCTTCGTTATCTCAAAACAATTTTCCCTTGACAAAACCTAGTATCAATACCACTAGGGTTTAGTCTAACATTAACCGAGACTAATTAATAGTCTAGCTATTATTATTATTATATAAGCGTTAAACAACACTATATAACTCATAATAATAGCCCAAATAACTATTATAAGGTCCTAATAACATTACTATATTAAAACATAAGCTACTAAAGATAGGTTAGGTGTAGCGCACTTACAGCGGGTTTTTCTAAAAAACCGGGCTTCGCCGGAGCAGCGTTCCCGAGCCTAAAGGCTCCTTTCTCGGGACTCCGGGAGCCTCGGGGCTTCCTTTGGGTGCTAGGGAGGTTCCCTAGGCTTTTTGGGGGGTTTAGGGGCTAGAGAGAGGTTCTAGAGAGAGAGAGAGAGAGAGAGAGAGAAGAGGTTGGAATGGTGTGAGGAATGAGGGAACCCGACACCTCGATTTATAGGCTGGAAAACAGCTCTACTCGTCGAGTAGGTCCTCCTACTCGTCAATTCCATGCCACATGTCACCTTCTGGTGGCTTGCCTTGGGGAGAAAGCCTTGGCCCATAATCAGCCACGTTACCCCTTTTGCAGCAGCACCCTACCGACTTCTAAACCCCGTAACTTTCGCATACGAGCTCCGTTTTCGACGTTTTTTTTTCACGCGTAGGTAAAAACAAGATCTACAACTTTCATTTAGACTCCATCGGCTAATTATCGACCGATCATACGAAGTCAGATTTGGGCGTTCTTTTTATGGATGTTCTCGGTTTAACATGTACTACAACTTTTGTTTAGATCACTAAGGCTAAAAAGTCCTCTATTGTAAATTCACTATTTACGTCTCCCGATGCTGTGCCGGTTTTGCCGAAAAACTTCGACGGGCCATAACTTCTTCGTTATAACTCGGATTTCGGCGTTCTTTATATGTACGGAACCCTTGAGACATATTCTACAACTTGGTTAAGATTATTTATTCTAAATAATCTTTTGTTGAAAAGTCGTTTTCGACCCCTATTATCTCTAAATTGACTAGCCCGGATCTACGGGCGTTACAATTGTATGCCAACTTTGAATTTTCTTATGGTTGAATTTAATTTATTGTTTGGTAGCTTTGCATTCAATTTGATTTAAGCCCTTGTATTAAACCATGCATTGCTCTTACATGGCAATGGCATCATAAATACAAATAAAAATTTAAACATGGGGAGGAATGCTATTTAACAATTGTTTTCACGACACAAAAGCAACTAAATCATAAGAAAAATGGAAAGTTATTTTTGTGATTTCGAGTTTCATCCATGGAAAATCCAAATTGGAGCCTGTAAAGATTGGAACCAAAATCCAAAATAAGAATCCAAACAAACCCTGAACATATTCCACATTGTATCCGTGTTCATCTAAGTGGATCTCATTTGCAGAAAATTGATGAAAGCCGATTTTGATTTTTGTTTAGCAGCAATAAAATAGTAGCCTCTGTAACCGATTTTGATTTATTATTTTTATATATGATTCGAGTTTTTCTTTAAACTCGAAGAACATCTCCATCATATTAGTATCAGATAGCAAGTGACACATGTACGCCATCTCAGCAAATAACTGATTGGATGAGTTATAACAAGTCATGTTGGTATATAATTTTTCAAAACATGTCTAGGTTTAGAGACCCTATTTGTATTAACAAATTTTGAACATATGAAATACTTTTGATTGCACTGTTCATTTTAATTCTTTTTTTGCCATCCATGTGTATCGAAGGTGACGATAACAAAAAAAATATATCAAATGAGTCATCATATTGGAAAAGAATTAGCTATTAAAATATTAATACGAATTGACTGAAAGAGTATGTGTATGCCTTTTAACATATTAAAATCTTTTTGTCAAAAGTTTGATTATTTCATTGTATAATAATTGTAACCATATTAAAAAAAATATATTTATAAAATTCAGAAATTTTGGTGGGTCAGCCCATCGTAAGTCCTAACCAAAATCATCATGGGCGCACTCAATTCTTCTTTTTGCCCATACTCATTTTGGCATGTTATTAGAGTGAGATATGTCGGTTTTGTGTTACCATGTATAAATAATGGTTTGAAATTGTATTTTTTATTTGGCAAATTTCCGATAAAACCCAATATTTTTGATGAATTTATGGTTTAATCCTAACGTTTAAATTTTAGAACAGAAAAATCTCAATTATCTAATTTTATACTCGTTGAAAAAAAAAATAAGAACTGTTTTGTAAATTTAGACAAAATATATTAGTCCAAAATATTGAGATTTTATCGGAGATTTCTTTTTGTATTTACATAGAAATACTTGGAAAAAATAGTTTGTATATTTTAAAGGATGTAAAATGAAATAAAAACACTTAAATTTCCTTAAAAAACCCAAAAGTTTTTTTAATTTAAAATTTAACGTCTCACTCCAAATTTCATATCTTGCAAATTTGACAAAAAATACATCAAAAATGCGCACATAAAACTCGATACAGGAAGAAGACGTCCGAGTTTATTAATAATTTATTATACTGAAACTCCACATAAACCACAAAAACACACACAAACCACATATAACGATCTCACAGAAACCGCCTCAAATCAAAACATACCAAATAAAACCAGGGTCTCCTTTCTTCTACTCATCAACACAACCAATGAGAGCAAGAAGCATATCCTCATAATCACCTCTAGTATCCTTCGCAATAGCCTTATCCAAAGGCACACTGTTCCTCTTCAAATACTCCTCCTTTATAACCTTCATGTCAACTTCAGCACGTGTGGCAACAACACGTGTGAGTGCACCCTCATCTGTTCCTGTTTTGTTAATCGCTAGCCTTAGCACCCTCTCAAAGTACTTCTCAGGGTATGTCAAACACTCCAACGTTGCCCTTAGCAATGAAATGTATTCGTCTTTTGAATCCTCTTCCAATTCCTACAAATTCAACAAACTCTTGAGTAAATTGCTAGTTGCTATGTATTAATTAATTTATAATTATACCTTTATGATATCTTCTCCATATATATTTTTGTATTGGTTGAGTGTTGCGTTGATCTGAAATTTGCTTCTTGTGGTGAGGATTCTGATGAGGTCATCATCGTTGTAACATTTGTCATCGAGTTTCTCATGGAGCAATTTGGCTTCGGTTTTCGCAAGTGTCATGTTCACTTCGCTTCCTTCATAACGACATGTAGCCACTAGAGGCAACAACAGCTACAGGAAAATAACATTATTGTTGATGATGATGATGGCTGTAGTTGTACTTTGTGTTTAAGTGTTTGTACCTTACGGAAGTCTCCCTTTGTGAGATAGGCGATATCTTCTTCCATGGATTTCTTATAGCGAGCATGGTAAGCTTGCTTTGCGAGAAGGAGATCATGTGAGGATCTTGTGCAAACTACTTCCACAACGACTTGATTGCTTTTTGTCCATCTTTTTGTAGCTTCGTTGACTAAATACGCATCACGTTCTGGAGGACTAAGTATCCAAAGAAGAACAAGTTTCTACATAAATTAAGAACAATGGAGCACGTTAGATGATTAGAAACTCTGTGATTTTTCATTTGTGGTATAGGGTTAGGGTTAACAAACCTCAAAGTCATTTGAGAGTTCTTTGTCGAGTGATTTGAGGAGATCTTCGTTGTGGGTTGCAGAATAAGTTTCGCGGATTTGTTTGCGTTGTTCAGCATCTCGGTGGGCTAAAATTGAGATTATCAATTTCTCGTTGGTTCCCCATCCTTCAAAATGCAAGTTGATCACAAAACGAAATTAGTTAGCAGATGAAATACAGATTAACGAATAATTGGAAAGATCGAGTGATGAGATAACAGGGGAGGAAAATCAATAGAGATGGAGTCGATATTGATTAGATTAAAATGGATCAACAGAAAGCAGAGTTGAAATCATCAGATCGAGATTCACACAGATTGATTATTGTTTTTGTAATATGAAAGATCAGATTCATGGTTATATTTCCGAAGACTAAGTCAGAATTGTTTCAACGCCATGGATAGACCTTTTTCTTCAGACAATTTCTCTGATGAACAAATTAGAGTGCATCATAGAGTGGATGACATTGACATTATCCTAGGCATATTCATGGACACATTTTTCCTTCAGAAATTTCTCCATAGATGGATTGAGAGGTAACAAAACACTGAAGAATCACACACACGTTTCGATCAAGTGATGGATGTGGAATGAAACGGAATCGGAGAAAAAACGTAAGTCCGAATTGAATGAATACGATTACAAGATCTAAGACAGACTAAGCGACATGAAACAAAATCGGATGAAAAACGTGTGTCCAAATTGAGTGGATAACATTTCCGAAGATCTCAAGCTTATGTCAACGCCATTAGACTTCGTTACTTCAGAAATATCTCCATAAACGGATTAAAGTGCAACAGAACATTGAACAATCAAGCAGGTTAAGAACTTAAGATCAAGTAACGCATATGAAATGAAACAAAATCGGATAAAAAGCATAGTTCCAAATCCAGTGGATATCAGTGATAAGATCTGATGAAGATAAACATTGGGAGAGAGACGAAGAGGTATACCTGAGAAGGCTTTATGGAGCTGTTCAACGTCGTCGGTGATGGAGGTAGCATGTGCTGGAACAATGATCGTCGACATTTTCTTCGGTTATCTTTTTGCTTTGAATTCTGGCTTTTTAATTTCCCTTCTGGTTAAGCTTTATTTATAAAGACTAAAGAGAGTATACATCATTAATTCAATGCCACTTTAATAATTTTGTTTCATGGTTATCGTTTCAAAAGAAAAATATAATATTTGTTTCCTATAGGTAGTTTTTTACTAATATTTAATTATTTTTATGTCCAAAAAGATTATATCCGAATATAAATGGAATATAAATAGATTCAAGATATTGTGAACAACGAAATATATATTAGACCGTTTTTCTTTTTATTTCACACTTTTACTTAACCCCTAGCATCTGGTTACTATTCACGAAAAACACAACATGAATTGTTCTCTTTTGGGCTGCTTATGAGGTTATATATGTTGAATTAGTCAAATTTAGACTGGTTAATATTTGTTTTTATTGTATAACCTATAATATGTTTTTTATTTGGTCTGATAAAAGTTGAGTTTTGTTTCAATTAGATCTCCATTCAATCAAATTTGACTCAATTAATAATTATCAAAAATCTAAATGATTAGAAATCAAACACCTTTATTAGAAGAGAAATTAAATATCCTATTAGTGGAGTCAAAAATTTGATTAGTGGTTTTTTGTTTAACTATTGTTAGATAATATTAAGCTATATCCATATTTTAAAGCTAAATCACGTATTATACATTTATCATTTAGCAAAACATAATTTTATTTTTTAAAATTTAATATTTAAAATCTAATATTTAATATGTTGAGATATAGAGTCCTAATAGTTGTTCGAAATAATTAATAGAATTTCCATTGATATCGCCACGTCTCAGAAATTAGGTGGGACAGAAACATAGTGCGGATGTATTTTTCGTTTTTTTGGAAGGAAGTAGGTGTCCCATACTAAAATAATTGACACATTTGTTTTCAAATCAATTAATATCTTCTAATTTATCTATATCTTACATATTTATAAAGCTTGCATTTTTTCTTTAATGTCATGCATTTGAAACCCCCACAATAATTTGCTAAAACCTCATGCATTTGAAACCCCCAACCCTTTTCACCTTCTTAATAATTATTTGAAACCCCCCACAATAATTTGCTAAAACCTCATGCATTTGAAACCCCAAAACATTTTCACCTTCTTAATAATTAATCACACATAATCAATGGTAATTCATATGAGATAATAATTTGCTAAAACCTCATGCATTTGTATGGTATTAGAACATATTTGGGTTTTTGGGTTTTAGACTTTAGTAAATGGGTAATCCGTTTGATACGTTGGATTTGAAGCTATCTTATTCGAATTACCCAAAACAAGAGATAAATTAATAATATATGCTCATGCATGTTTTGTACAAGTCCCAATCAAAATACAATATATCATGATCATACAATTAAGTGTGTCTTTTATTCCATTTTTGGCTTTATAACAAAAGTTTGTTTACGTGGCGAAGAAAGAAAACTTGAAGATGAATATTTAGGTTGGATGTTTATATAAGATTTGTTTTAAATATATAATATAGATATAAATACACAAATGTGTGTCAAATACAGCCCATCACAAATTTAATGTTATAAACTACAATATAACTCAAAGTGGTTTTCCAAATATAATGTTTATACTATAATATAATATATTAGAAGAATACCATATAGTAGACGAATCCCACATGTTGTGCAGAAATTTAGTTGCATATATAATATATTATAATTATATTTCATTTAAAATATGTTAGGGTCATTTGGTTATTACATTGTTGTATTAGACACTATAGTCTCATATATTTTGAATGACTCTTACAAAAATGATGTCCGTAATTTGAATATAACGTAATATCTTATGATGTTTATTGAATGATATTATCTTCGATTGAGCACTTTTTAATTGAAATCAACTTTATTATAGTTAAAAATTTTGGCTCCGTTTTTTCTTTTCATTAGTTCTAGAATATGATTTTTTTATATTAACTTAAAATATGTTACTGTCTTAAAATAGATTGAGAATGAGATTTTTTATATTTACTTAAAATACGGCACCATTTTCTATTCAATAGTAAAACTAACAAAAGTCGTTAAATATGTATTTTTATGAGGTTCAACATAAATAGACGACCACAAATGAGAATCCATATCTAATCAATCATCAACTAATTACATTAGATACTAATGTGTACATAAAAATTACATTTAAAATTTTAAACTAATAGTAAAAAAATTTCATTATTTATTATGATAAAAAATCTGTAAATCGAAAAATATACATGCTATTTAATCGCATACAAGTTTTATGTATGGCTTATTCACAATACATTAAACCATATATAACCATATTAAACTACAATTATCCCACTGCGCAACGCGCGGGCATTCGCCTAGTATCTTATAATAGAAGCATTTTTCTAAGTACCACATTGATTTGAAACTCCTTTGTCTTTACATATTTTCAAATGACTATATTTCTAAGCACCTCATTGATTTGAAACTTCTTTGTCTTTTCATATTCTCAAATGACTTTTCAAATGTCTTCTAAGTAATTGATTTGACATTAAACACCAAACATGCTATATAAACTCTTACATGTAAGAAGGATGTCATAAGAAAATGAAAAGAAAAAATTCCAATAGGCACAATTCTTTTAGAACGTATTTTAGTGATGGAGTCCCTAAAAGAGCTCTACAAGTCAAAGTTCTGGATGAATGTATCATTTTTTACTCATAGTTTAATCGTGTTATATTTTTTCCAGTAGTATAAATGAAACCATTCAAAATCATATGTTTAGAGATATTTTGTTTTCTCAAACCATACCATTCAAAATCATATGTTTAGAGATATTTTGTTTTCTCAAACCATATTGATTTGAAACCTACATAACTTTATATATTCCTTAATTAATAATATTTATAGTATTTATAAATTTCCAATAATTTTTTGCATTCTCTTATTATATATGTAGTTATATTAGTACATTTTTCTTACAAAAAGTCGTCATTTGGTTGAAGATATTATGATTCAAAAGTTTTCATATAGTTAAAACATTCACGATCCAAATATGATGATTTGAAGAAACGGGTTATGTCGCATCGATGATAATTGTAATATGATTTTTTCTTTCATCAAAACAAATGAAGCTTTTCTATTCTTTCTTTATATTCAGTTTCTCATTTGATCTTTATATGTGATTTGTGTGTATTACTCAATCTTGAATGTGACTCTCCACACATCAATGTTTTGCTTGAAATATCTTTCTGATTCTTCTTTTTCAAGAAAAACATTTTAATTGCTGGTTAGTGAAGAATTGTCATTAAGTTTCTATGGTTGAATGATGTTAAATGAAGAAAGAAGATTCAGAAAACGGATATAGGTTTTTTTGTTTGAGCAAAGTAGACGAATGTTAGTTTTTTCTTTTGATTTAATGTATATTTATGTAATATTTTTATTTATATATTTAACCACCCAATGTTCTTATTTATTTGATTGTAGTTTTTCTATTTTGATTATATTTATTTTCTGTTTTTTTACAAGACAATATTTAAAAGATAGCATAATTTTTAACATTTGATATGTAATTATGATTAACTTATCATGATATGTTCTTCATATGAAAGTAATTTGTCCATATTACTATGACAAGAATTACATATGACATTTACGAAAATATATATTATATGTGATTTGTTTAACATGTATATGCACCTATGTGTGTTATAAATTTATATTTAAATATCTTTATGTTTAATAATTGAAGGGGTTAAAATGATGCATCAAAACCAATTATTTAGACGAATATAATAATAATAATAATAATAATAATAATAATAATAATAATAATAATAATAATAATAATAATATAATAATAATAATAATAATAATAATTATTATTATTATTATTATTATTATATCTTATAATAGAAGCATTTTTCTAAGTACCACATTGATTTGAAACTCCTTTGTCTTTACATATTTTCAAATGACTATATTTCTAAGCACCACATTGATTTGAAACTTCTTTGTCTTTTCATATTCTCAAATGACTTTTCAAATGTCTTCTAAGTAATTGATTTAACATTAAACACCAAACATGCTATATAAACTCTTACATGTAAGAAGGATGTCATAAGAAAATGAAAAGAAAAAATTTCAATAGGCACAATTCTTTTAGAACGTATTTTAGTGATGGAGTCCCTAAAAGAGCTCTACAAGTCAAAATTGTGGATGAATGTATCATTTTTTACTCATTGTTTAATCGTGTTATATTTTTTCCAGTAGTATAAATGAAACCATTCAAAATCATATGTTTAGAGATATTTTGTTTTCTCAAACCATACCATTCAAAATCATATGTTTAGTGATATTTTGTTTTCTCAAACCATATTGATTTGAAACCTACATAACTTTATATATTCCTTAATTAATAACATTTATAGTATTTATAAATTTCCGATAATTTTTTGCATTCTCTTATTATATATGTAGTTATATTAGTACATTTTTCTTACAAAAAGTCGTCATTTGGTTGAAGATATTGTGATTCAAAAGTTTTCATATAGTTAAAACATTCACGATCCAAATATGATGATTTGAAGAAACGGTTATGTCGCATCGATGATAATTGTAATATGATTTTTTCTTTCATCAAAACAAATGAAGCTTTTCTATTCTTTCTTTATATTCAGTTTCTCATTTGATCTTTATATGTGATTTGTGTGTATTACTCAATCTTGAATGTGACTCTCCACACATCAATGTTTTGCTTGAAATATCTTTCTGATTCTTCTTTTTCAAGAAAAACATTTTAATTGCTGGTTAGTGAAGAATTGTCATTAAGTTTCTATGGTTGAATGGTGTTAAATGAAGAAAGAAGATTCAGAAAACGGATATAGGTTTTTTTGTTTGAGCAAAGTAGACGAATGTTAGTTTTTTCTTTTGATTTAAATGTATATTTATGTAATATTTTTATTTATATATTTAACCACCCAATGTTCTTATTTATTTGATTGTAGTTTTTCTATTTTGATTATATTTATTTTCTGTTTTTTTACAAGACAATATTTAAAAGATAGCATAATTTTTAACATTTGATATGTAATTATGATTAACTTATCATGATATGTTCTTCATATGAAAGTAATTTATCCATATTACTATGACA